GAAGACAAAAATTTTGTTTGAACTTATATTTGGCAAGAAGATTGTGCTTATAACATAAGCAGTATTTAAATGATAGAGATCATGAGAAAAACCTGAAAATTCATTACAGGTGCCGATACAAACAACAAGATGCTCCAATGATCGTTTCAACCCTCTTCGTGCGATTGAACGTGGATGAAATTTGTATTCAATAACCCACCGATCTGGTTCGTTGTTACCAGTTGCATTGACCAACGAACAAGGATTCGAATACATGAGATAATTCACTCTTCATAATTTCGATAGTCATATCATGTGACCTGTTTGCCGCTTGCAAACTGTTAGTCTCTTACTTCACCGTTGCAAGCAGTTTGTCAACAGGTGACGTATCTATCGATTAACGAAAAAGAATTGATATTTTTCTTCACCACACATTACCATCAAATAAATTATCAAGTTATTATATTTTGATATTGGTTATAGAATACGGAAATGTTCTTACTAATAATAATGAATATCAAAGTAGAAAATGGTGTGATTCAAGTTACAATGTAGTCCAAATGATCATCGTCCTTGACGCTCATTTTGTGTAGAAATATGATCGATGCTACTGTCTCTATATCAGCTACCACATACTTTTTAATTAAGCATCTGAAATGGTATTCTGTATTGTGCAGTGAACGCCCCTATCTGATTGTGTGTGTTGGTGACCGACAAACACTCACGTACACAGATCAAATATGATTCTTATGTAAACTCAACAAAACTAGCTTGCAAAACGAGAATATTTCATTGATTTTAGTAAGCATTATATTCTGTTTTATTTTTTGGCAAGGTCGAAAGAAAAAGAGGAACATCAAGGAATATACTGTTTTGAAAATCGGTGGCAAACGTAGAAAGAATGAAAAACAGTTAGGTACAACAAAAAGAGACCAATCAGGTCAGATTTGGTATGCCAATCTTGAATCATGGCCTGTATTCTATCAGCTGTAACAAGAGCAGGTAAAGGGAGTGGCTATTACATAAAGTTATTTATAATTATCAAATTCCCTGCAAGCACAATTTGTCTCTTTTCGCGTGAGTGAATAAATAAATATTCTTGTAGATTATTCGACACAATATTCCTTTACGTAATATTTTACATGCGTAATATTTACATACTCAAAATATCTAAACACACATTCATTCGATAAGCGTTGTTGTCCAATATCAGTGCAATGCGTAAATGATCTAATTATTTTTAAATTATTTAGAATTATCATAATAGATTACACTGAATAACACATTGTTTCGAAATTTCGTTCACTATGAAAACAAAAACGATTGAAAAACAAGATGGTAATAATGATAATAATATAAATAATGATTCTTAGTCAAATAACAATCATGTGATAACAGTCATGTCAATTTTTCAGGTAAGATCAAAATGGTAATATATGCAAAGCATTTAATTTAAAACGGTGAACAGTCACGGAAATATTTTACACGATACATTGACTTTATATCTATGACTACCTTCTCAAAACAATGTAAGAAGCGTATGAAGCGTACCTCTTTTTCCTGAACAGTTAGTCCTAAATCCAAAACTCCGTTTGGATTCTTTACTTCTAAACAGTGGTGAGCGATTGAAATTTCGAATTCTCAAATTCTAAAAAATATTCATTTTTGGTCTCATTATACTGAACGATAATATTGGTTTCGAGTTTGTAGCTCAAAACAGTACCAACGGATTGCTGTTCAGTTGGATTTGTTTAGGATTTCAGGGACCACAGTGAATTCTCGTAAAAAGATTTCAAGGTCAATTTCCGTTGGTAGCGAAGGAGACTAATTGAGCGACGAAACGTCTGTTATGAAGCAAGTGCGTTTTAGTGCTAATAAGACAAATGGTTCCATTTTAAAAAGGACGATTATTATTTGAATATAGTTAATCCTAAGTCAATATAAGAGGGCACAAAAATTCTTAGTTCAAATGAGAAAATTGAAGTATCTGGAAAGAACAGTCTGAATATAGCAATTGTTTCATGTCTTCATCTACACTGGTTGTTCAGGCGATGGCATGTGATGGCCAGAGAAACGTAAGAAAATCTGTTTCATCCAGGAAACGCTAATTATAAGGATGTAAAACAGTTGTTGAAATTAGCTTTAGGAATGGAAAATTGTACTATAGTTTCGGAACAAACTAATTATACTTCCGAATCGAACTGTTGATTAACTTTGGAGAGAATAATGAAGGTTTTACTTCACAAAATGAAAATCCGGTTGTCCATGCTGACGATTAGATGGATTAAAGAGGATAACGAGCCGATATTTCACGAGTTCACTGGATTTATATTGTCCCGTGTAAACGCAGCCAGTATTAGATTTGGACGTTTAGCAAATAGCCTAATATAAGGACATGATATTGAAATGTATTTCATCTGCAATCAGAACATATGTATTTTTCAACTGTTTTTGGACCTGTTTCAGACAGAACAAGGGTCTGGGATCAAGAAGGATCGAGAAAACGTGAGTGCAGACGTCCTCTTACAGTTCCAGATGTGAGTTGAAGGAATAGGCATTTTGATTCTAGAAACCAAGTGGTAAATGAGGGAGAGAACATAAGCGAACAAGGTGAAATAGTTTGAACTATATAGACAGAAGCTTGTGTGAGGAACTCCCCACATATGCTGAATTGTTCACCACGACACATAGCCCATCACAGTAACGCCAGCGTGAACGGTGACACAGCACCTCATATTTTTCGCAATCAGGATGTTTACGGACTATTGTTTCTAGTTTCAACTGATATCATAGTGGTGGAGTGAAAGATAATACTACCGTAGCAATTACAGCTGATGTTTGCTAAAGGTCAGAAGGTGATAGTAAGTCGCATACTAGTCCAAGCAGTCATAGCATTATTGGCATTGTTTGAGGTGTTACAGTGAGTAATAGCTCGCTCATAATACTTGCATGCCAACTAGCTTGCAATTTGTAAACAGCTTTATATTGTGAAAATATCATTGCGCCCAATGACAACGATAGAGGCGATGTGAAACCTCATGCGTCTGTTGATGTGATGAATGTGAATAACGAAAATGAACATGAAGGTGATGAAGTCGCTGTCAGTTGTATAGTTTCCCCAATTTTTACCAGCGTGGTTTCATTTCGTACTTCGGTTCGTGACAAGGATGGATGTTTGAACGTGAAGAATGTTGTCGACGGTGGCAATAGCATTAGTCGTAGTCTGACACTATTGTGAATTTTCACGATCAGTATTCTGGTAGATATGAGAAGTCAACTCAGTGTTCTGGTCATGCTGCTGCTTCGAATATCCAGCATTAAAATTCGGGTAGGAAGTTATCCACCTGTTGCACTTCACCATCATTGACATGCATCACAAGTCCTAAAACGAACACTACCAGCAAAGGTAAGAAAGATGAGTTTCATACTAACAGAAGTGATGCTTGCTGAGTAAAGATGTACATTATACAGGGGTTTATTGGATGGATTGAAAAAAGTAATACTAATGCGTCTAATAAGACTAATAACAATAATAACTGTAATATTAATAATAATGCGAATAATAACAATAACAGAGGAACGATGAAAGACACTTATCAACATCGTAGTGGGCGTATATTAGGTTCGCGTACAGCCGCTGTTTGTGAGAATATATGGTAGGGAACGACACGTGTATGATACTACTATGACGAGGAAGCGTTGAAAGAGATGAGAGTAGTTGTTATTTGTTTCTGAAATGAATGAATTTACCGGTTTCCAATCGTGATACAAATGCTTTCCTTTGATCAAGCGGCTGTCGGTGGTGTTCCTAGTTTTAGCAGAAACAACATGAATTGTTGAATAGATAATAATGAAGATGATTATGATAATAATCGTAGTAATCATAATGTCAGTAAAGAGGCGAATCGAGTGTCATTGATGATGGAAACTGAGCAAACTTGCATGAACATAAGGTTTATTCTGGCTAATTTGTTTTGTAAAGGCTGATAAGAACAATTTTTACCGTCCCTGCAAAAATGGCAAAAATGGTGAGTGGAACATAGAGATTCCCGTGATTGACACATAGTAGTTGTGTGTTCGGACATTGCGACACGTTAGAAGTGGCTTTTAAGTGCATTTAAAGGCTATGAAACCAATAAAAACGGAAAGGACAGGACGACAACTGTTCGTCCAAATAATGGAGAAGTTAGGAGTGATACATGTAAGATATGTCTACTTGAAAGTTCGAATTACTTCCTAGTTATATCCATGTAGGAGTTCCGGTAGGCGTTCTGTTCCATGTCTTGGTTGCTCATTTGTATGGACTATAATATAGAATGAGTTATGACTGTCGTTGGACTATGTAAGTGGTAATATTTGCGTAGGTAATGGCCAAAAGTTGTATTATTGATGAATATTGTTACCGCCAATCACCCAATTACTTTGTTCCGCTTCAACTGTTCAAAGAGCGTATCCTAACCATATACACAGATTTTTCGCAATTCAAATCCTAGTTTAGATCCTACACACCTTTCAGCCACAGTTGTCTGGCCATCGGATCAGCTCTAAGCCTGGATGAGGGAGGAGCGTTGGGCGTATGGTTGGCAACCACATTTTCAAGGAATAATTAGCTAAGCTAACAGTAACCTGAAAATCAATAATGGTACTTACGATAATGAAACGTTCTTGTTGCACAATTCACTAGATGCTAAAGAATATACAAAAAGATTTAACGTACACCATCCATTTGTATTTAGCCAGCAAAACGTATGTATGCTTTTCTCATAGTTGAGAAAGTTGAATTACATTTCATCGGCTTTTGTAAACGACTAATACACATCAAAACTAAAACTGATATATTGACCAATGTCATGTAGGACAGTGCGATCTTTTAATCATCAATGTTTTCTTTTAACAAACTCTACTCTTTTAACTGAAGGCGCCCCTTGTAAGAATTACTTATTCGCGTTACGCATCAGTTCAGTGTTCCTCCTCAAAGGTGATTAGCATAATAGACCACTTTTACTAGTTCAGAAGTATCAATGTATTTCAGCGCAGAAAATTCATTATTGATAAAACTGCGGAATCTATGCTTTTCATTAAATGTAATGTTACAAAATACTACAATGAATAAAGATGATGATAATGAACAAACTAATATAGAGGATACGTTCATACAAACACAAAGTAAAAAGAATGATGATAATCCTTTCTCTTCTCCATCACCACTTAACGGATCAATTTCTTTTCAGATTCGCATACAACATTTCACATCATCAGCATAAATTTCAATATCTCTTTCTTGCATCTGCGTTTTGTTCATTCAATGAAAATCTTGAAGTAATTGATGTATCCACTAAATTTGGCATAAATTCCATGAAAATAAATACAATGTTTATTTTTGGTTGAATCACTGTATTCTGTATTTCTATTTTCATAGACAAACATATTTCATATCTTGTTGACTACCAAGTTCCCAACCGATTTAAGTCCTTCCAGTCTACAGAAATTTGAGAAATCTATAGGAAATCTAAAACAAAATAAAGCAGCAGGTCCTGATAGGCTTACCTCTGAGATGTTTAGGGATGGTGGTCCAGTTTTAACAGTTAGAATGATCGAGATCCTAGGTAGAATCTGGGAACTGGACGTAATCCCATCTGACTGTTCTCAGTCGTTAATTGTCCCAATCTACAAGAAAGGACAAAAGTCCTCTTCTGACAATCACAGGGGAAGAAGTCGAAATAATATAATTTCTAAATTGTTAGCCTCCATTATACTTAGACGTCTAACTAGAGCTCGTGAAGAGCAGACGCGAGAAAACCGGGCTGATTTTCGACCTAAACGTTTCTATGTAGACCACATCTTCACCCTACGACAGGTCCTGCAACACAGACACACATTTAGACGTCCGACAAAAGTCGTGTTTCATGGACCGAAAAGAGGCATCCGGCGCAGTGGATCGTGAGGTTCTGTGGCACTGTCTGTCATTGAAAGGTGTACCAACGAAATACATTAACCTTATACAAGCACTCGAATTGAACACTACTGGTCGAATGAGAGTTAATGAAGCAAGTTGATCACTTCACTTATCTGTGGAGTCTAATACGTGCTGGTAGCCTGGTGGCTGACGAAATCTCAGCGTGGATACAGAAGTCTCGATTGGCTTTTGCCAACCTGCGTCAGATTATTGCTGTTGTTAGAAAGGAGTAAGCAAATGTTCTAATACGGCTTGGGGGTTCGCTTTTCATCCCTTGATACGTAGGCTCTACTACGAGCCTGTGTGCACAATCATTTTCTTCTTGTGTTGAGGTTATTATTTATGAAAGCTAAAATTAAACATGTGAATATTTAATTTGGAGCTTAAATTGAGTAAGTAGGTATGGATGAACAATTCTGGAACGTAAGAACACTGTAGAAGCAAACCGATAACAATGATTCACAAAGACTTAAGTGCGTGTTCAGATAAGTTGAACTGACATTGTTTTAAAATACTTTCGAATAATGTAATTGCCTTTTTGTATCCTAGACATTTTTCATTTTTCTCACGTGCTTGTCTATTATTTTCTCACAAATTTGTTATTTCCAGTGTGTATGCGCCTACTCCCTTCGATCAATACATGTCTACTTTATTTTGCTTGACTGTAATTTCTTAGTCATGCTTCATCTCAAAGAGTCGTTTCACCTATTCACTCCACTTCACTAAGCTTTGTATGTCTTATATTCGGAAATTTGTCAGCTTCTATGATATACTGATATAAACTCCGACGTCCGAGGCTGGATTATGATTCTTTTCAATGCTATCAAACAAAAGTTGCTCACTTAAGTATAATAAATGCAAAGTAAAGGTAAGATTTATTTAAGGGCATAGCCTCAATATTGCTTGCAGAGTACAGTTAAAAGATTTAGGCAAATTTTTCTTTACAACCGTGAAAAGACACAGACACCCACCAAAACATTCACAGCCTAAAACAGGGAGGTTTAAGAAACTCAAAGTAGAGTCACCCTAAACAACACATAAACACAAGCTTGCATATCCACATTCATATCAAGAAGGCGTAACAAATGCCCTTTCATACAGATCAGCTGCTCTGGATTTCATTGTTTCGATTGACGTGGTTTGGCTTGCCAAAAACGATAATGGTGCGACTACCTGAAATTGCTGATATTGCTGATATATAAATTCAACAAACACTGAATGCTAGTATTTACTACATTGAGTCTGGCGGAAACCATTTGGGTTCATATTCTAGGGCACTGGATTCTATCTGAATAACAGTTACTAGTACTTCCTGTGGTTTATATGACATTAGAAAAATAAGATCTTTTTATGATATCAAGAATTTGTATAGATAGTAGAGATAATGTGAGGACAAAGTGAAGTGAAGTTCTGCTTGTGGAGCTTTCTTTTTTCTTCTGAACAACGTCTTCAGTAAAATATTTCATTAAATGTGCTTCCTTATTTTCAGTGGCTAGAGGTTTGGTCGTTCGTGCGGTAGTCCACTTCTTTGGGTTACATTGCTGTGTGTGTGATTATGAATATGCAACATTGATCCATCTCACAGTAGAAGGAAACAAAATGTTAGCACTAATGTTGATGTGCAGAATATTGTAATGAGTCACATTGATGGTTTGTCTAAACAAATTAAGATACAATGCAATTACATAGTTACTTGTTGTTCACGAGTACAGGCTCATCGCACAATTTTCTCAATGCGTGTCGTGAGCACATTCAGCCGTTCTGTCTCATATCTTCCTACACTGGAGGAGACCGATTTGTTCTCTCACACAGTAGATTGTTAGGGATGTAGTCTGTGTTTAATCTTATGAAAAATTCGTTTGAAATTTCAGTGTGCATGAAGCAGAGGAGAAGAAAATCTCGACACTGAATCTGAGAAAAATTATCAATTCACACTCGCGGCATTATATTTTCGGGGCTAACCTACTATTCATCCATATCTAGCCACTACCGGACCCTTTATGATTTTTATGGAAGCTGTCTCTGTAGGTTTGAATTCGCGTTTCGCTGATTCGATGGTTTTCACAGAATTTATCATCATCAGCTGATCACCAACATAGGTGAAAGCTGAGTTTCCTTGCCCGACGCTGACCCCGGCTTTAACCTTCTGAAGTTATCGATCTGTTCTGTTCCACACAAGCTTACGAACATCTGATTTCAAACCTGGTGGAATAGTATACTCGCTGAATACATTATTCGTGACCTAATACTAGGATGTCCACTGCTCTATCCACAAATACAAAGATCTGCTGAATATTACGGGGGATTTCCTTGTACCGAAATTGTCAGAATATACTTCATTCTATATTTCTGTATTGAAAATAATCTACATTCTATGACATTTCAGGGGAAAATTTCGTTGAGTAGCTGCATTGTGTTAGTGGTGGTGGGCGGCGTAACGGAGTGGATATCTGGACATTTTGAGAAGGCGTTGAACACAAATGAATACATTGTTCAATAAATTGAAACAGCGAAGCGGCCTGAAATCCCGAACCAAGGATGTTCAGATTTGGGTCATGACACCTGCGGAAATTCGGCATTCATCTATAACGCCTGCTGACACTGCATACATTTTTAAACTAGGGCTGTGACATGTGTGACATGTGACATTCACGGCTTCTGAATATAAACTTCATACGTGTAACCCCTCGATGGATAAGATGAATCTCTCTCAGCACATTTGCGCGAAGTGATTCGAGCAGCACTACTCTTTTACCAAACATGAAACAATCGTTCACGATGAATAGTGAATATCGCCGCCGATACAGTTGCTTCATGTCACCTTCTTACTTTTTCGACAGCCAACATTTAATAACATATTTGATCATCATCTTAATGATGAGGTTGTTCCAAAAAGCATTTTGTGTGACTACTGCAGACACCGGTAATCCTTGTATCGTGGTTATGATTTAACATCATGCGTGGTCTTCCACTGACGTAGATGCGATCACAATGCTTTCCTCGGTCGCCGCTTGATCATGTATGAGTCGTTACCAAACGTCTGCCCGACCGAATCGCAGAATGTGCAATACTGCTTTACGATATAATACCTCAAAAGTACTAAGGCCTATTTCTGAAGACGATTCGCAGAATAGGCTGAGATGCCAGTTATTGAACCAAAGAATTTACGCCTTTCTGACGCTTCCGGAAACTTATGTAAAATGTCAGCAGCAGGGGCGTATTGTGAAGCTTATGCTCCTACTATGAGCAGCAAATTTTAGCTGATCGAACCAGTTTATACTACATAAATGTGGATCAGATGCAACGGAAACAACAGTAAATGAAGAGTCTTCACTGGTAACATAACATTCTAATTGTCCAAAAAACGAAGGTAATTACCACATGCTGTACGAGGCTTCTGTGTTGTGTGCTGCAGGCCTGAGCTACATTTTCTGCATTGATGCTGCCTTGATGCCTGAGCGTCTGAGTAATCGACTACATCAAGTTCAGCTTTTGTGCAAATAATTTTTCTCTTTTAGCTGCACCAGATCGTTTGTCAAAACGCTGTCGTCAATTGTAATGTTCGACTCTGGGTATGCTTATAACTCTGACGGGTTCGCCGTAGTCGACTAACGAGAACAAAACCATGAACAGTAATCCAATTGACCTAGCTGTAGCAGCGAGAAGACTTGATACAGTATTGAAGGTGTATTCGACAAAAACCCATACAGTGCACAATGAATCCGAGCAAAAAATCTCGTTTCATTATACTACATACTTGGAAGTGTCGCAAAATAACATACTTAAATAACACAGAAACCAATCACTGTCAATTATTTTCCTAGGTCCATGCAATAAATCAAGAATGAAGATATTGATCAAACGACTTCTGAGGATTCAACATGCACAACACGCTCCTTCATCTCAAAGAGTTCAACAATGAAGAAACGTCTGGTAACGAAGCACAGTTGCGAACGTGTTAATGACAACATACGTATTGTATTCTCTGACTCTGTAGTTGATCGAATGTTGCTTGCATTAACAGATGTGAACAGGTTGAAGATATTATATTCATTCACCATCAGTCCATGCTTAGGTATGTGTATCAGATTCACCGTGGTCAGAAATGCACAGTTTTCTACATCTTCAAATGTTCCTACGTGTGATCACATTTTGTTTGTAAATATGTTGTTTCAACATATCTTGCCTTTTGCTGTTTCGGTCAACCGCGTCAGCGGCTCTTACTGCTTTACCTTTGACTTCTTATTCTGTATTTTTTGCAGTGATAAGGTTGCGTTATCTCAGCCGTCCACCGTATTCTTCAGCAGT